ACCTGCCTGCCGCTCCTGCTGCGGAACCATCGCTGGACCAGACGTGGCCTGGACCCAGGAGGAGGAAGAGGAGGAGGAGGGAGGAGGAGGGAGGAGGAGGGAGGAGGAGGAAGAGGAGGAGGAGGGAGGAGGAGGGAGGAGGAGGGAGGAGGAGGAGGAAGAGGAGGAGGGGGAGGGCCTCAGACTCCAATCCGGCTCCAGGGCAGAAGGGCTCCCCACAATCAGAGCAGGGACGCGGGGGAGGCGACCATCGGGGGCACAGGCTGCTACCAGCTCGGGGGCGTGGACGCCTCGAGCTGGACTCTGCGACGCGTCGCCGCTCTGCATCGGCGATGCGTCCCTCGATGACAACTTCGCACTCTCCTGGGCGGGGTGGGCGATCGGCCCAGACATCCGGCTGCTCCAATTTTGGTTCGATGCGTGGGCCCCGGAGGCCTGGGCCACTTCCCCGGGGCCGGTCTTTCGTCCCGAGTCGTTCTTCGACGCTCCCGAGGCCCGGCGAGGGCCCCCAGAGGCCGAAAACGTCCACACACCGCCCGCTCCAATCTTTTGGAACGTCGGACCTCTGGGGGGGGGCCTGTCGGCGATGGGTGGGCGATTGGGGCGGCGGAGGTGCAGGGGTGGCGGCCGGGCACCGGGGCAGGGCGGGGGGCGGGAGCTGCGCGACCGCGGGCCCGAAGGCGCGGAGGTTCATTGCTTCAGCCACGGGGCCCAAGCCGCAGGCGGCCCCAGCTCGCCTGTGACAGTCGGCCTGGCTCCGCGGGCCAGCCTGTCGAGCCGCGCTCAGAGCGTGGCGATGAGGGGCACCGCTTCCCCGCGGGTGGTGAGGGGCCCCGCTTCCCGCCGTGAAGAGTCAGCTTTTCCAGCGGGCGGCCCTCCTGCGGGCGTGCTTTCCGAGGCGGCCGGGAGCAGTTTCGGTGTTCTGCGCACGTGTGAAAGGAAACACTTGCCCCCTTTACTACATCGCCCCGTTTGGTGGTGTGCGCGCGTATACGTGCTTGTGCTTATCTTCGCGGTTTGTCTTGGAACCCTTGCCTGTTCTGACCAATTATCTCTGGCACCTTTTGGCGCCGGGTCTGGCCGCCTCCTTGTTCAGGCGCTCTGGGTGCCCCCACGGACGGTCTGCATTATTGCGCGAGCCTTTGCGCATCCAATCGCCGCCCATTCCCCTGCCGACCGCGTCAGCGGGCAGCGCCGCGCGCTCTGGCATTTCCAGCGCTCCCCTTCGGCAGGTGGACGACGTTCTCGCTCGGAGGCTCTTCGCATTTGCGGTAGAGCCACTCGCACGTCTTGTCGGGGCCGTCTCTGTCCATTCGACTGCAGAATCCGACGTCGCGTTCCACTTGCGCGGATTCTATGATGGGCGCGTCCGGAATCTTTCTCGTTCCAATAAAGGTACGATGCCAATCCGCCAGGAATTCGGAGAGGTTGTCATCTCTCATCCTCACCGCATTCGAGTAGTGAAATCGTAGATGCGCCCATAGGCCTCCGATATCCGACGCCATCCCAGGATCATGAAGAGGCCCTGCCTGCCCTCAACAAGCTCGTTCGACGATTTCGCAACATCCTCCCTGAGATGGACTTTTGTTTGAGAGCATCGCATTAGAGGATGTTTGCGCAAGTTTTCGCTATCTTAGCGTCAAGCGAGAAAAGGCGCCGCTGTCAGTGAACGACGCTGAAGTTGCGCCAGGGTTTCCAAGTGCTCGAAGGAACTCGAAGCACTCGTCTGGGCGCCCAGATGCAGGGGCAACTGTCCTCGCGCGCGTCCTGTGTTCAGTCTCGAGAGAGGGGAGCAGTCATCAATGGTTTGCACTGGACCCTGTCGGCTTCGGTGCCTTCCTGCTTCCGGAAAAAACCGCCGCGCGGCTTCGTCGGCGGCGGACTGCCGGAACTCTGCGCCCGCGCCTGGAGGGCTTGCCTCCTCCTCCTCCTCCTCCTCCTCCTCCTCCTCCTCCTCCTCCTCCTCCTCCTCCTCCTCCTCCTCCTCCCCCTCCTGAGGAGGGCTGGCCTCGGAACGCGGCGGCCCCTCGTGGGCAGGTCCCCCGTCGTCTGCGGCCCCAGCCCACCCGCCGCGGGCGCGGCAGGAGCGGCGGCGGCGGCGGCGGGTTGCCCCACCGCGGGCGCGACCCGTCCGTTTGCCACGTGCTGCCGCGGTGCCCCGAGGCACGGCCCGCGTGGCCGCGAGCCGCGGCCGCTCGTGGAGCACTCTCCAGTCGGCCAGCTCGCGCACCCGCGGAGGCTGCAGGGCTTCGCCCAGGAGAGGCTTAAGCAGCAGGCTTGCGTGCCCTCTTACGGGCGACGCATTCCCAGCGGAGATCGCAGAGATTCGCATCTCCGCACGGTCGCGGTTGTCCTCGACCCTCTTCGTGCACCTGTTCAATCGACCTGCACACCAGCCCAAACTCAGCGGTAGCTTCGCTTCGGATCCCGCCCATGCTTGCCACATGCAGCGCGTTGTCGTTCTGGGGCTGGTCGCTCAAGCTAATGTGGATGGCTTCGTGCCCCTGCAGAGTCTCATGCAGATCTCAGAGTTGAGCCTATGAATTTCACAGGAGAAGTCTCGTGCATTTCCGCGACGTCACTGTCGGATGCGAGTCCGTCCGCGCCGTCAATTCGGTCTTGGAGGTGCCGCATTGCTGTCAGCAGGCGCGTGATCCTGGAGGCGATCTCATCAACGCACCCCCTCAGTTGCTCCACGTACGCAGCCAAGTTTGGGCGTTGGTTTTCAGCCTTCACGACGCGACGGTCCATAGTACAGATGAGATCCCGAACTTGGGCCAAGCCCGTTCGGTCCACGGCGGCGAGTTGCCCTGCCGCAGCCAACTGTCGCTGTTGAAGCGCATCTAGCATGCGTTGTCTTTCGGTCGCCTCGGCCGGGAGGCGGTTTTGGAAGTCCGCCCCCTGTTCGGCAAGCATGGCGTTGCTAGCCGCCCGTTCGCGTTGCTCGTCGATTATAGTTTTTTGCGCTATGGCGCCATGGGCAGCTAATTCTTCGACGGCCGCGCGAGCTCGGGCGTCGCCGCGTTGCTCGTTGGCCCGCGAGTAGTCTACGAAAGTGGTTCGCAGGGCGTGGAGCTTCACCTCCTGTTGTCGCTGCGCCTGCTCAAGGGCGGCCTGGCGCATCTCTCGTGACGCAGCGAACAGCTGAGCGGCGTTCAGCACTCTTGCTGAATGTTCGCTGCTGGGGCACCGCTGGCGGCTGTGGCGGCCTTGCTCCTGGCTGGTGCACACGAGGCGGTAAGCGCACCTCCGTGCGGGCAGGGCTGGTGGCCCAGGCCCCTGCCCTGCGATCCCGAGAGGGATCTCGCAGCTCCAGCGGCGGGCTGCCCTGCTGCAACGCCCGTAGCGCCAGGTCGCCCCGGCGCATCGCCCATGGCGCTGGGTCGCCCTGGCGCGTCAACCCCACTGTCGGGGGCCAGTGCGGGCGTCGGGGCATCGACGATTGGGGCTATGAGAATCGCACTGGTCGGGCTGGCGATTTTTCGAGCTTCCCCAACCGCGGTGGCGTAGAGCCGATGGTTAGCGGCCAGCTGCGCTTCCTCCGTCTCGGACGAGGTGTCCGAGATCATGTCCCCGCGGTTCGCTTCTTGCGTTCCCGAGGCTTCCATCTTGACGCGCGGTGCTGGCGGCACCGCTTTCGGCTGGTGACCTGCGGGTGTTCTTGCTTCAACCACTGAACCAAAATCTGAGGAGAGCCCCAACTCCCCTGCCAAGGTCGGCTGGGTTCCGTGGCCCAGCCTTCCGAGCCGCGTCCATACGCGGCTAGAAGAAAAACGCTACAAACACAAACCTTTGGCGGTTTTTCTCCTTCGATGTCGAGCCGCGTCCAAACGCGGCGATGAGGGGCACCATTTCCCCGTGGTGACGGAGGGCACCACTTCCCCTTCACGAAGGGCCAGCTCGTCGAGCGGGCTCCAGCCGTGACAATCCCGGGTGCCACGACCACGCGACCGTCCCAAAATCGGCTCGAGGGCGGCGGGGCGCCGAGCGAGCGCGCCACGAGCGAGCGCGCCACGCGCGCGCGCCCTTCCCAGCTCAACCGCTGCACGAGCCACGTATGGGCGACGATCAAAAACGGGCCTGACGCGAGATGACGTGGCGCCCTTACGCCGCCGCTTACGCGGGCCGCCCGCGCGGCACGCCAGATTGGACGAGGGCGCTTATGCGCGAGCTCACGCGGGCCGCTTACGCGCCAATGTCAGCGCAGACGACCCCGTTTTTTTTGCGTCGCTCACATGGCCTCGGCAGCAATCCCTTCCCGCAGCCTCGTCGCGCGCGCTGGTGCCCCCCGGGGGGCAAGACGCGACAACCGACGCAACGCGGCGGCGGCGGCCACAGCTACGCGCGGAAGCGCGATCAGCAGCATGATGGGATGAGGATGGGACGAGAAGGAGGAGGAGGAGGAGGAGGAGGAGGAGGAGGAGGAGGAGGAGAAGGAAGCGGAGGAGGAGAGAGAGAGGAGGAGAAGGAGGCGGAGGAGGAGAGAGAGGAGGAGGATCACGCAACAGGCCCCGCCTCACGTTTGCCGAACGCCAAAAAAGGAGGAGGAGGACGACGAGAGGGGCGGGGGTCCGCACCCAGAGCCACCCAACGACCCCCAGAAAAAGGAAGGGAGAGAGGGGGCTAATTCCCATCTCCAAGTGACCGCACGCGCCCCGCCCCGCCCCGCGAGAGCTGAGGAGGAGAGCGCTCGAGGCTGGAGGGGCACGGGCCTTGTTGCTGGCCCCAGGGCCGCCCCTTTGTCGATTGCACGTAGGAGTGGCCCTAGGCTGGAGTGACCTTTGGTGCGCGGCTTCAGGGGCGCACAGTGGGGGCCCAACGCAATTGCGCCAGCCGGCGATGCCGCGCCGCATTAACGATCGGCAGGGTGCCACTCGAACGATTTTTTGCGCCAGCGGGCAACCGCGGAATTCCGCCGATTGAGTTCGAGCGCCCCGAATGGCGCTTCGAAGGCGCTGCGAAAACAGACGCTGCCGGGGGCCACCGCGATGAGGTCTGGAACTGCCGGGCTGCATCGCGATGACGTCTGACCAGGCCCGGCGCCATGGCCCAAACGGGCCTCATCCGAGAGCCTGGAAGATGTTTCAATATCTTTGGATAACTTAGAATAGTAAAGATCCCCATTGGTTCGAAAAACAAGTTCAAACATGCTCAAAAATATCCAAAAATATTAAAACCAGACGTTCTGAGATTTGGGCTGGGATTCGGGACTGGACCTGGGCCAAAAAAACGCGCCGTCTGGTCAACAGCACCCGAGCCGGCAGTGAAGCGGCAAAATTTGCCGCTTCTCTGCCGGCTCGGGAGCCGTTTGTGCTCCCAATTCCGTCGCCCTCTTTGTTGCTGGTTCCGGCTTCACTCCTGGCACCGTCTTTTTGCCATTTGTGGTTGCTGTTTGTTCACCGCTTCCACTTCCAAGAAACACTGTCCCTGAAACAATGAAGGAACGGCCCTGCCGTTTCCGTGGCCAACTAAGGCACGGGCGTCCATCATGATCCGAAGCGTGGACTTGTCCGTAACCACCGCTGGGGGGCCGATGTTCAGGGACCTCGGCAGGACGTGGCTATATCCGGGCTCCCCATGCAGAAGTATCCGCATCCGCCGCCAGCCAGGGTCCCCCGGGGACCCCGGCAAGCGGCGGATATGGACGCAGTTTGGCTCAAGTTCGGCGACTTGAGGCACTTGTAAGACTACATCCTTTCACCAGCTTGCTCACTTGTGGATCGCGCGATCACATCTCGCCGCTCACTTTGCCTTGATGGCGCAATGGCGTGCGGGGGCGCACGCTTCGGGGAGCCGCCACTCCGACTACGAGTGGAAGCGCGACCCATCGGGGCAGTGGCATTTTGTTGGCAAGCGTGGTGGTGGTGGTGGCTCATCATCGCGGAAGTGGTCGCGCAAAGGATGTGGGCACGAGAACGTGAGCAAGTCGGCCTGCGTGACGTGCGGCATGCGCCGTGCATATGCTGCATGGGCGGAAGTGGCTGGCAGCTCCAGCACCCAGGACTGCTCCTCCCTCTCTGCCCAAGCCTTCAGCCGTTCACCCCTTCAAGAATAAGATCTCACAGCAGCTTGCGGAGATCGCGGAGAAGATCAAGAAGGCCACCAATGGCTCGACCTTGAAGCCGCCCGAGGCCGCGGACGCGCCCATGACTCCGCAAACCGAGGCCTCCACTGAGGATGCCCCCTCCAAGGAGCAGCTGAGCAACTCCATCAAGCAGCTCGAGGCGGCCCTTGCCGCAGTGCAGGCAGCTCCAGGCAACGAGATTACTCGTTCCCACCTGCAGGAACAGATCACCATCAAGAAGAAACTCTCAGTGGACACGAAGCCCCTAGGGAAGCGACTCGACGGTGCACGCGCGGCGTTGGAGAGGGCGATCAAGCGGCAGGAAATGGCCGAGGAGAGCGTTGCCCTGGCCCTTGCTGCCCAGACGGCGGCCGCGGACGAAGTCAAGCAACTTCGTGCGGACGTCAAAGCCTTGGAGGACCAGCTCTCTTCGGCCAGTGCCGTCTCGTCGTCTCGTCTGCCGCCGAGAACCCGATGCCGTCTTTGGATGTGTTTCAGCAGCTCGAGTCTCTCTTGCAGGAGGCGGTAATTGACCTCAGCAAGGCGGAGCGGGTCGGGCCCGAAGCAGTCCAGGAGGCTGGCCGGCAGTCTCAGGAGCTTATGTTGCGCTTCAAAGCCACGATCGAAGCAGCAGCTCTTCTGGCGCAAGATCCTCTGCGCATGCGCGGGAAGCAACCCCCTGCTCAGCCCGATCCTGCCCCGGCGGTTCGCCGGCTGGTTGGGAAGCAGGCGCCCAAGGTGCTGATTTCAGATTACTTCACCGAGCGGAAACTCCCGCGGACCCCAGGGTTTCCAGCGGCCAGTTTGGACACGTCGTCGACTTGACGGGTGCGACGGCGAATGTGAACACCCTTTTTCCTTGGGAAGAGAGATGCGCTTGCGCCCAGGTGGCTAATGCATGTCATGACCAAGGTCCAGCTGCTTGAAGACCAAATCAAAGTAGCTGGAGTTGATTCCGTCGGCATCCAGGAAGGCCGGGCGTCGGCAGCGCAATCCAAAGAAGGCCATTCATTCACCATGCTCACAGCACCTGCTTATGAGATCTTATGAGGATGGTTCTCGCGGCGTGCAACTGGGGGCCCGCTTAGGCATGCGTGTCGAGACCTGGGAAGCTTATTCCCCGCGCCTAATGTTTGCCATCCTTTGCAAGCGCGGCGTCGACTTCAGCGTGATTGTGGGCCATGCACCACACTCTGCAGCAACAAAGGAGTCGAGAGATGCTTGGTGGGATGCGCTGCCTTCTACGTAAGTGTACGAAGCTCCGGACGTCTTATGACCTGGAGTGGTTCGTTCTACTAGACGCCAACGGGAAGGTTGGCTCCGTGCCTTCTCCGATGATCGGCCCCGTCTCGCCCGACCGCGAGAACGAGAACGGCATGCATCTTCGTTTTTTCGCCGATGACAACGAGATGATGGTTTCCAACACCTTGGGGCCAAAATCTGGTTTCACTTGGACGACGCCCAGAGGCACCCGGTCACGAATTGACTATGTTATTTTGCCTTTCTCTTTAGAGCGCCAGCTACACTATTCTCGACCTAGCCAGACAAATGATCTGACTCTTAACACGTGGGAGGACCATAGATGCGTTGAGAGTGCTGTTACAAGTTCTGTGAGGCCCGACTAGAAGCCTCCCAGTCCTCCTTTCCAGCTTAACAAGTATAAGCTTGGCGACCCTCGTTGTGCTCATGTTTTTCAGCAACTCCTCTGGCTCTTCCGCACTGTTCCTCCCTCTGTGCACGTAGATGACCATCTCGAGTTGTTGAATGAATATGTGAGATGGTCTGCTCGGTATGCGTTCGGGCCGCCAGAGCGCCAAGCCCGGAAAAAGTGGATCAGCCTGGAGGTATGGGAGTATCTCCAGCATGTTTCTCCTCTTCGTCGGCGCCGTCATGCCTTGTGGCAGCATGAGAAGCTCGAGTTTTCCTCTGCATGTCTTTTTATGCCTGGCGGAGCGCGTCCGCTACGGCGGCCCGCGTGCCAGGCGCGCTCGTCGCGCTGCCTCTTGCAAGCAGCCGGTCTTTGAGAAACTATCCTGACTGTCGCGTTCCCCCGCCGTGTGCAGGACAGACAGCTGCCACTGGTTCAGCTCCACACCCTTCTTCCTCCCTTCCCTCTCCAGCCCCCCCAACCCCTTTCCTCCTCCAAGGGGCGGCCGTCGATTGCGACGACGCGGTCCGTGGCTTCAGGTGGCAGGGATCACGCGCTCATGCCATGAATTTGTGCTTTCAAGCTCACGTTCGCCCTATTTTGAAGCGCGATCGTTCTGCGTTTCTCGACGGCATGGTGCTCGCCGCGTCCCAAGCCTTGGATGCGCATGACTCGCGCCATGCGTACGCCGTCGTCCGCTGCCTGGCAGGTAAGTCTGTCAAGCCCACCCAAACAATGCTGTTGACGGATGGCACAGTTACTTCCGACGCCCCTCAAGTTCGCCGCAGGTGGCTGGAACATTTCTCCGATGTGTTAGGGGGCGTGTCAGTGGATGACGCCACGCTGCGTGAGCCTCCTCGGCCACCTCTGCATCTTGAGACTTCCATGGGGGTGGGCCCCGTGGCCACAACTGCTGCATATGCTTCGCTTGGCCGCAACAAGGGAGTCGGCTATGACCGGATCCCGGCCGAGCTGCTGCAGGCTGGGGGCGACCTTCTAGCGTGCAAATTCTCCGAAGTAAATCGGCGAGTGCTTCGAAATGCTGCGTGGCCCCGCCAATGGCGCGGGGGGCGCATGCAAGAGGTCTATAAGAAAAAGGGGGACCCTCGCGATTGCGATTGTAGCCGCGGCATTCTGCTTGCGGACCATTCTGGCAAAGCACTGGCTGGAATTGTGAAACGTGCGATCGATCCAGTGTATGAATCCAGGATGCCTGCCACGCAGTTCGGCGCAGTCCCACGGCGAGGCACTGATCAAGCGTCATTGCTGATCAGAGCCGCCGTAGAAGTTTCGACTCTCAAGGGTTGCTCAGTCGCGGTGATTTTTGTTGACCTCGTCAAGGCTTTCGACAGGGTCATTAGCGAGATTGTTTTCGGTTGGGGCCCATCCCCTCCCGCTGACAAGCAATCTGCCCTGAAGGATCTCGGGGTCAGTGAAGCTGCTGCCGAGTGGATCGCACGGTATATAGACGAAAATGGGCATCTGTTTCACCAGTGGCAAGTGGACCCTGCAGCCGCCGCCCTGTGCCAGTCGTTGCACGCAGGCACTTGGTTCGGAGTCGAGGGCGTGCCAGAACGAATTGCTAGCCGCACAGGCGGTCGGCAAGCTTGCAAACTTGGTGCGTTGACATTCGATGCTGTGTGTTCCGTTGCTCTACACATGCTTCAGTGGATCTTGAAACAGGCAGACATCACACTACGCCTGCCTGTTCCAGCCTCCGCCTTTTGGGCGTCGCCTTCGGAAACGGAGTATGAACCCCATCATGCTTATGTGGTCGATGCTACTTTTGTAGATGACGAGGCCCTTGTTCTACTCGCCTCCTCTTGTGCGGCGCTGGACCATGCTATTGAGACCCTGCTCGGGGCATTGTACGATACTTTCGACAATTTGCATTTAGTAATCAATAGCAATCCTGGCAAGACGGAGGCACTCGTGCGATACCGAGGCACCGACGCCTCCCGGCATAGAGAAACCAGGCGGTGTGCTGACGGTAGGCTTCGGTTGCAAGTCCCTGGTCGCCCAGGGGTTGCCATTGATATCGTTGAGTCTTACCTCCACCTTGACACTTACACCGATATCGATGGCAACACCTTCAGGAACGCTTCGCATCGATGTTCCAGCGCAATGTCCAAATACGCGCCGATTTCGAGTAAACTCTTTGGGTCTCACCTCGTGTCGTTGCCACACAAGCTGTTCTTTTTGCAGAGCTTGATTCTTTCTCGCTTGCTTTTTGCTGTGTACATCACGGTCCCCCCCCCCCCGCCCGAAGGACGTAAAGAAGCTCAACGGTGTCTACATGCGCGTACTGCGCAAGATCTGCGGGGACAGCCGTTTTTCTGACAAGGTTCAGTGGACCGATTGCGAGGTCGGGCGACGGCTGAACCAGCCTTCGCTCGACTGTCTCATTGCGCGAACTCGGCTGCTGTTTTGGGGGCGTCTGACCCGGACTCGCCCGTCAGCTCTGCCTGCGTTGTTGCACGTTCAGATCCAAGGCAAATCCTTGCCATGGGTCTCGAGGCTCATGGAAGACGCCGAGTTGCTGCGCGTCCGGTGCTGTCCTCCCGCCTTCCCCACCCCTCGTAACGACCCGGGTCAGTGGGAAACTCTGTTACGAGACGAGCGGGGTTGGAGTGCGCATGCGAACAAGCTCTTCTTTGTAGAGTCTTCCTGCGACCGAGAAGCGCACCCCGACCCGCGCGCCCAAGGTTTGACTTGGACGTGTGCTGCATGCGCCTTGTCGTTCGCATCAGAACGGGCTCTCAAGAGCCATCGCCGTGCCAAGCACGGTGAAAGAGCTCAAATTCGTAGGTACCTCTGTTCTTGAGTGTGCCCGTCTTGCGGTACCGATTTTGTCCAGAGGGTTCGCCTTCTTGCGCACGTTTCCGACTCCAGACGGCCTCGCTGTCGCGAGTGGAATCTGTCGAACGTTTCGCCCATGTCCGCGGCGAACGTCTCTCGCCTGGCTGCTGAAGATCAGCGTCTCCGCAGAGAGGCCCAGCGAGCAGGCCACAATCATCATTTAGCTGTGGCGCCTGCCCGAACGGCCAGTGGTGGAAAAATCATTGGCCGGGTGAATCGGTGAGACTTTGCATACGTTTCCTTCTTGAGACTACCAACCTTGCGCAATCGAACTAAAACAAGCATCTGGCCTCCCCACTGTCCGGGATTGTCCGGGCGTATCCATGTCCAATGCTGGGTCCCCGAAGATCGATGCCCCAGGCGGTGGTTATGGAGCCTGTTTCTGTTTTATCTGCGATAACAAGCGTGTTGGAGGGGGGGTCCACCTCCACCTCCCGGTCGCGGACAACAGCGACGACGACGAGTTCCTTGGAAACCCTTGAGATTCTCTGGAACCCCTGGAAGATTCCTTGAGACACGTGAGGAAAACAGCGTGACGTGATCGGGGGGGTAGGGGCGGGGGCGATCACGAGTATTCTCGCCCAGGCTCTGGCCCAGACAAAAAAACAGGCGCACGGGTGGGACCGCGCCCCGGATCATTGAGCGAGGCGGGCGGTCTTGTGCGAGCGAGCCCTTGGGAAGCGCCATATAGGGCGGCGGCGGGAGCGGCTCGGGAGCTCGCGCGCGCCGCGGCTTGCGGACTGCGTGAGCTCCGTCGACGGCCTACTTGTGTGGGCACGCAGTGGAGAGCTGGAGGGATACAGAATCACGAGCTGATGGGCCTGTTTTCCACCACCACCACCATAAGTTGAAGGGGGAGGGGGTCCTCCTCCTCCTCCTCCTCCACCTCCTCCTCCTCCTCCTCCTCTTCCTCCTCCTCCTCCACCTCCTCCTCCTCCTCCTCCTCCTCCTCCTCCTCCTCCTCCTCCTCCTCCTCCTTCCCCCCAACTTATGGTGGTGGTGGTGGAAAACTGGCCCATCACGAGCGCCCTCGCAGGAGCACGTGTAAGTATACGAGTGCTCGAGGTCACGCTCAGACCTCGTCGCGTCGGCCCTCTCCCGGGGCACGCGGGGAGCCGGGCCCAGGACGAAGCAGCGGGAAGAGCAGCTCGGACCCGTCCTCGGGGGAACGGAAAAGTACCGATGCCGCTACTCTCGGCCGGGCGAAAGGGGGGGATAGCAAAGGGGGGTTTGAAAATCAATTCACGCAGCTGATTGTCCTGGCGCTTCCTGGCGCCGGAGGCGCCCATGTATCGAGGAATGGGCCCGGCGGCGAGGCCGAAACCAGCTGCATGCAGCAAATTTCGTACCCCCCCTGTCCCTATCCCCGATTTTCATTCGGCCCGATACTCCCCCGACCTCTCCCCGGGTGCGTGCTGACCAGGATTTCGAGGCGAAGCCACCGGCGACGAGGGCCTCCTGGGAGGCCGCAGCGAGGGGAACCAGACGAAGGGCAGCGGTATGCAGAAGAAGAATAATAAGAAGAAGAAGAAAAAGAAGAAGAAGAAGAAACAAAAAAATGCGTAAGCATAAACCTTTGGCGTTCCGCGTAAATCTCTAGGATCTGCGCGGGTCCGAGAAATCCGCGCGGAGCGCCAACAGTTTGCGTTTATGTGGCGTCTTGACTTCTTCAAGGTATGGGGTACCTTCCCCTCCTCCGAATCCTCGTCGTCCTGCCCCAGGAGCCACGCCGCTGCAGACCTGTTCGCGCCGCCGAGCACCGCGGAGCGCCTCGCGCGGAACTCGGCGCGGTACCTCCTCACGGTCTCGAGGCCGGCGCGCCCGTACCGCAGCAGCAACTGGCGCGGCTCGTAGCCGGTCGTGGCCCCGCCGCTGGCGCCGATGGTGGGCCAATTTTCCACACCACTACCATAGTTAGAACAGCTTCATGAACATTGGTGACATCATCTTTTTCGTGAACTGATCTGCCAACATAGCTGTAGTTTGTAAGTGGATCGCATTCCTGATTATCCGCGTCAATCTGTCCTCTCTGAGAGTAAGAACCCCAACTCTGTGATGCTTATCATTGGGAAGTGACTTCGAAAAACAAATCAACTCAAACAGGTTCATCGCGTCGGTGCATATGTCCACTGGTCTCAAGTGCTGAGACTGCATATGTACTCGATTGATCAATAGATATCGTGTAGTAGGCTGTCGTCCACATACAGGTAAGAAATCCAACTCTACGATTCTTGAAGCAATACTATTAGCCGCTGCCGCACATGAAACTGCTGGGTTTGTCTCCGAATGTGAAATTGACCATGAAACTCGCTGTGCCTTTCGCGAGCTGACGATAAGAGGGCATGCTATGCCTCAGAAGACCTTCGCGACGTTGCCGAAGTACTGTTCCTGTTTGCCGTACTTGAGTATAGGACGCTCTTGAACGATAAATGCGATTCGCGCCTCTTGTGGAGCACCGTTCGTAGAAGTAATGTCCACTGTCTGTCACCTGAGCACGTCGTCGATGAGGTCCAGGAAAACGAACATGTAGCCCAGTCGTCTCCTGGTTGGAAATTGCGTTCTTGAGAACTGCATCGAGCTGCTTTACATGAGCGCCTCGGGGATTCACCATTTCTGTCTGCAAATAGGCAGTGTTCTCCACGAGCGCGATTGGTTTCAAATTCATAAGATATAGCTTCTGGCGTAAGAAGAAACGTCGTGGTCGAAACCTCTCATGTACAATGCCGCGCCAGATAGAAGGAATAACAAGATGCTTCATCTTGCCAGGTTTGCCGTCAACCCGTTGACGCACCCGCTAAACCATAGCTTTCATTGCCAGCGCAAGCAAATCATCAACATGTAAAACAACGATACACGACAATGATTTGTTCTGCGAGTCGAACACGTAGGGGGGGGGGCGTCGTTGTGGAGCGACTTGTAAAACTTAATTTTGGGCAACAAGAAATGCAACGCAGCTAGATGGAATAAAATCGGTCCGTCAGCGAGTCCGCGCATAGCTTATTCAGCTGAGGAACAAACAGAAATCTCTCCGCGTCCTCGACTGTAGCAAAGTTCAGCAGTCATAAATGTCGCCAGACATTCGCTGGTGGTGGTAGCCATACTGTCCTGATTCGCCCTCATCGTGTCCAAGTTCTTTACGTCGTGCTTCGATTTCTTGAAATTGTGAACCTCGAAGAAACGCTGTAGATACATCGAAAACTTCAGTCCCCAGAGAATTGAGCTCCAAGAGTCATGGCCGATCGATGTGACAATGCTGATGTCGTGGAGGAGTGTTGATGAGAGCCTTGCCGCTGTCTGTCCATGAAGCCTCGCCCGCGCATTCGTCATTTGACTACTGGCGGGGCTCTGGTCCGCCATGTGCGAAACCATGCCGCGTCGATAGCGCTGTCGCTGTTGTTCGCCAGGTCGAGCGTGAAAACCTCGCGCGATACCAAGGGCTCGATTTCTTCGCGGCCTCCTTTCTCGACGCATTCCCCGCACTTAATCGCATCTGCCTCCGCCAAGAAGTCCTCTTGCGCAACGGAGGGACATTCGTCTCCAAGAATGCCGCAACAGAAACATGCACCCTTCTGCCGCGGCCCAGAAATACTCCGATGCTGTCCAGGCCGTTGATCCCGACGGTGATGAAGTGAGCCAACTCTGCACGACGCCGGCGCCCTCCGCTGCGCGCGCCGCGGCGTCGAAATCACCATGGGGAGGTTTCTCTGCGACGTCGTCAATCTTGGAAACCCCGGTGCAGCATTGATGCCGCGATGGGGGAGCCACTGACAACAATTCCTCGCAATCTGGAAGCGAGTCTTCCTTTGGGACTTCTGGATATTCTACAGTGCCATCAGCTGCTCCTGGTGGATGTTCTAAGGAGTGCCTAGCTAGCTCCTTCAGGTTGTTCGACAGTAGCATCAACTTCTTGATCTGGAACAACTTTGCCTGCGTCGGCCACTGAATCTGCCGGTGGATTGCATTGGATTGTCCGCCGTCTGTCCTGACCTGGGTGCTTCAGCCGCTGAAGCTGGCATGGGATGCGCAGGAACTGCCAGCGATGATACTAATGGTCCCGCTCGTGGGCGTTCGTCTTGTACTTGACCTTGATGCTTGGCCACTGGCGTTGAAGGTGCATGGAGAAGAGGTAGTTCTTGTCCACGTTGCCCAGCTGGTTGTCCAATCTCTGATGCAGGCGTCTCAGGATTGAACATCTTGTTTTGAGGCATCTCGTTGATCTCCACTCCCCTTATTTCTTGCCGTGTCCTTGAACGGTCGCTAGCTGCGCTCTCAGGTGATGTCTCCTCAGCTTCTCGTGGAGGCGCAGGGCAAGGAAATGCCGTTGGTCTGTCGCGTGTTCCTGATCTCGATCTGTCCAATCCAGATGAGGAGCTTGAAGCACTAAGTGCCTTCGGTGTCATCGGAAGAATAGGTTCGTGTCCTTCTTCTATAGGTGAGTCTGGAACTTCACTCGCTCTGACGCCTGCTTCTCTAGTGGTGAAAGTCCGGGGAATAAGGGACTTCACGACGCATGATCCGTGATCTGGATCTCCTACAGCTGGGTGGCTTAGGAGGTTCTTGATTGCGGCCTGGTGCCCCTGGAGTTTCTGCCTTCGCTGCTGCAGGCTGTGGGGGATCATCTGGAGGTTGAGCTGCCTCCTGTTGACGTGAACTGATTGATGGCGCCATTGGTGATATCGGTGACAGAATTATCGTTCTTGACCTGTCTTGTCCAGGTGCAACTGGAACTCGTATCTTGGCAGCTGCTGGAGCAGGTGGTGGTGCAGACGGTGCTGGAGGTGCCTGTTGCTCCATACTCTTGTCTGGACTGTAAGTAAGAGTAGATGACATCGGCGCGTTGTTCTCGCCTGGAAATATCTGATGAGCCCCAACTGCCTCTGGGGGTGCCCCAGGTGGTGCAGGTGGAAAGCCCGCTGCTGGAGGCGCTTCATATGGAGCTGGTGGCGTTTGGCTCGGTGGACTTGGAATATAGATCGGTGTCTCATCGTCGTCGAACGGTGCTGGGGCCCAGGGCGTCGTCGATGGGCTCCACAAAGGACTAAGGTCTAAATGGGCTTCATCGTCTGCGAAGTGATCCGGTGCCGCAATCTGATAAGCTGCCAAGAAACATATATCAGTACGACTGCCACGAGAAGCCAACGAAATCTTGGCCCCAGGACGCATGTCGACGATGGTATATTGATCCCGCAAATGCTGTGCCCACTGCATCGGCCGCCCGTAGTCCACGTTAGGTGATGGATCCGCGCGTCTAACTCCATGTCCAAATTGTATCCAGTCGGTGTCCAACTTCAACATCACCTTCGCCGCCCGTTTGCCGTCCTGCAGGATACGAGGAGGTCGCTCTTGGGGGTCTTCAGGCATGTTGACGCACTGTTGTGTCTGCTGGTCCAATTGCCATCCATAAGTGCAGACTTGTCCAAGGACGCGATCCTCGACTTGGCCCATCAATGAGGGGATGAGCTCCTCGCTGGTCTCGTCCGTCTTGGCGTCGAACTGCATCAGCCAGACAAAGCCGATGCGAGGTAGCATGTGTCGAAGCGAAACCGGCGTGGGATGTCCTCCTCAGCGGATAGTTGCCATGCCCTCCTTGCCCATGCACCTGGCCATCTCGGCCGGGCCACGCCATCCACTCTGATCCTTGGAAGAAGGTTCTCTCCAGAGATCTACCCTCGCCTCGGGCTCCTCGATCTGATTCAGAGTCTCTGGTGCATATTGTCGGGGTTTTGCGTTGGCCGCCTCTGCAACGCGGTGCTCGATCACCGCCTGAATGGCAACTTCTTTCGCATATGTCGGAAGCGAATCTGAGACGCGATGGAGTCCAGCTGGTTTAACGTTTAACGTTGGCGTCGCTCGTCGCCGAGACAGACTTGTTGTCGCGATAGACATCGCGAGGCCCATGGCCAAGGAGCGCCCGATTTGGAGTGGAGCTTCCATAGACCAAATCCGAGTTGGAACACAAGCAGGCCTCGCTGACGCAACCATTTTGACTCTTGCGGACGCCCTGCTTCTGCACTTGCGAATGCAACTTGAGAGCTGATAGTTTGACCAATCCAAGGCGTCGTCTAGCAGGGCCAGAACGAGCGTGCGCCCCTGATCCCTGGGGACCTCGCTCGATGTCGCACGCCTCGCAAGCCTTGCCCATGAGGTCGCCAAACACGGCGCCTTCCTGATCTGATACTAAAACTTTAGGAGGTCCAAAGTATCGTGCCCAGCATCGCAAGACAACCAGGTGCCACGCCTCAGCGCCCTTAGTTGCAAGGGAATTGCAGCAATCCCAATGAATTGCTTCGTCGATGAAAACTACGCGCGCTCTACTCTACAGGGTAAAGCTATCTCTGAGTTCGATGATTGCAATGCGTTGCCAAGATTGTCCCTGCTGATGTCGGCCAGGTAAGTGTCCGCCCCCATCCTGCGCAGATCTTGAATTTCGCGATGGCTGGAAGGATAAGATCGATACCATGTTTTGACATTTTGCCTCGTCCAAGGAAGATAACCATCTCGTTCGCTGGTAAGTGCCACATCCATCAGCAACTTCTGAGCCTCCCTGGTGGTTATTTTCGGATTCTCGAGCTGTCGTCGTAGCATCGGGATGTTGAAAGAGGGCTCGATGTAATCCGGCAAGTCCACAATCTTAGGCTGTCCTTCGACTGCCTCAGCTCCGTCGAGTGGTGCAGCGGGTGCTGCAGGTGGCGCTTGATTGGGCTCTGGAAGTGCTGGAGCTGCTGCTGCTGCCGATTCACTGTTGCTCGACGTCTTCGGCACCTCAAGAGGTGGAGCTGGAAGAACCCGTTGCACTGCTGAAACAGGCACTGGCACTGGAGCTGGAACTGGTGCCGGTGGCACAGGAACTGGAGCAGGTACATGGCCATCTC